AACTGCTTTCTATTAGGCCTCTCCATAGTCTCCAAGCCGGTCTCCACAACACCACTAGTCTCAGTGCCTCTCTCCACAACACCACTAGCCTCAGTGCCTCTCTCCACAACACCACTAGCCTCAGTGCCTCTCTCCACAACACCACTAGCCTCGGTGCCTCTCTCCACAACACCACTAGTCTCGGTGCCTCTCTCCACAACACCACTAGCCTCGGTGCCTCTCTCCACAACACCACTAGCCTCGGTGCCTCTCTCCACAACACCACTAGCCTCGGTGCCTCTCTCCACAACACCACTAGCCTCAGTGCCTCTCTCCACAACACCACTAGCCTCAGTGCCTCTCTCCACAACACCACTAGCCTCAGTGCCTCTCTCCACAATACCACTAGTCTTAGTGCCTCTCTCCACAACACCACTAGCCTCAGTGCCTCTCTCCGCAACACCACTAGCCTCAGTGCCTCTCTCCACAACACCACTAGCCTCAGTGCCTCTCTCCACAACACCACTAGCCTGAGTGCTTCTCTCCACAACACCATTACACTCTGAAAGTGCGGAAAATGAATTATGAAGAGCAACAGACTGTGCAAAATGCCTTTTATCCACAACTCTAAGTCTACCAGATCCTACAGTATTCCATCTGCCATTCCTAGTATGTCTCTGCGGCAGTGGGTTTGCAGCAGTTCCAGTCTGAATTTCTTCACCAGATAATTTACAAATCTCAGACTTCAAAAATACAATCTCCTGCCGCAAGATAGAGAACTGTCTACAGATTAGACAACAACCAAACCTCCAAAAAGTGGAACGTGAAACAAATACATAGCAATTGTTACACTGAACTAAGTCTGCCATTCCAATTAGGAGAATAATTTAAATCTAACAAATCTTAACTTTGTATTTATCCTCCTGAATACCTCAGATTACCTCCAGGTTATCTCCAGAATATCTCCAACTACACACTTAGAAACAGCACTTAGAAGTAGACCGCCATAGTCCTCATCGTAGAGAGGCAAACTGAAAAATGCTTTAAAAAAATTAAAATAATAATATTCTGGCCTAAAATGTTAAATTAATTTTGAATTCCCAGCAACTTTACAGGTTTATTGCTAAATCCAGACTGCAGTTAATTGACTCTGAATTGCAAAATAAAAATAAAATAAAAAGTGATTATCAGATTGTTTTAAATAAATATATTATAAATAAATGTATTTCTCTTTTTATAAAATCTTGCCCATAATAAACAGGTTAATCTCTACTTGAAATGGCATGTTTTCACTGCAAATTGAACTGAAAATGTTCATTGTCTGCATGTATTTTTGTATGTTTTGATTGATCATATTATCTCTTAAAGGGACCGTAACATTAAAAAAATATTATTACATGTTTAAATGTATACTCTAAGTACTATTATTGCCACAATATGCGGTCTCCTTCCCACGGTAAGCTATTAAACAGTTTACATTGGTTTGACATTTATATGGCTCTGTCAGGCACCCACGGACTGGAACAGTTTGCACTCAATGTCATGATATAACCATGGAATTAATTTTAACCATCACAGGCATCATAAAAATGTAAAACATTGGTCCAAAATCTGTATTGTATAACAATAATCTAGTTCCATTTTCTCCTATTCTCTATCGAATACTATTGTAAATTCATCATTCTCTACTTGCAAATAATAATAAGAAGAATTGGAAATAATATAACACTAATTTTATCAGATTAATTACACGTCTAGTTTGATGTTATTGATACTCTTTACAGACACTTCATCGTACTGCCACTCTCTCTTTATAACATACTACATCCTAGATTTTAATGCTCTGCACAATCTTAATATTAAACACACAGTGAATTTATTTAATGCCAGAGAGAATACAACACATATATACCAGGCAGAATTAATATTTCTTTTTTTTTATATAATTTTTTTTTAATAAACTTTAACAAAGTAATTAGGAGGCAAAAAGACAAGATAATTGGAAATATGTTCACCACAAAATATCTATAATGCCAGGAGTAATATAACGAGTTAAGGAATGTCAGCATATTTATACTACTTTCTATCATAAATGTGCCCCTGGATAGAATGTTGCCAGCTCTGAGTGTATATATATCAATCAATTCTCTGATTACAGAATTGGGAAATTTAATAACGTGAATACGCCAGGTGGCCTTTTCAATGGAAAACTTGCACTTCAGTAGAAAACTTGCACTTTAGTAGATCAAAGATGCTTGCTGAGTCATACTACTATTGATTGTTTCTGTGACATGCAGTAGTAATTATAGCTGAATTAAGATCGATGCCTTTATTCTGTGTTAAATTCACTGTTAAGAAAAATAAAATAAGTCTTGCCACAAAGTGAGAGACTTCGCCTAATAACCAGGTGGATAACAGAAATGTGTTCCCTTCTCTTTCACCACTCTATATGTATAGAGCAAAGAGTTATTAAAGTGTCCTTGGATTCTTTGCTAAAATACAAAAAAGCACCTGTTGTAGTTGTTTTCTTTCCATTACATAAATCGCTCTTAGCCAATGAACTCAGCCCTATACTTCTAGGTTTAATGCAGAGTGCTTCCAGCTTTCCATCTTCAGTAGTGGAGGAGGGGAACGGAATGGGTGGACCACAGGTAAGAAGTCAAAATATTCTAAAATGGTTTGACCACTCATACACTTGGCACCATAGTCATTGCAGCATGTTGAAGTGGTTATGGTGCTTGAATCATTCATTTAATTGCATCGACCTTGGAAGGATGAAAGGCTAAGTTGATCTAACCAGGAATTAAAAGGATTTATAGTTGGTTATTTATTTTTTGTTAGGTTCCCCCCTAATTACACTAATAGGTTTTTCCCTGGAAACATGTTTGGCTTGTATTCACTGCAGGATTTTATGGCTCTTAATGTGACGTTAAGCTCACTTAGTGTAAATCTCTAAGCCCTCTGAAGCAATGTGACATTAGATTGCCATTACTTTACAAGAAAAGCCACAAGACATAATGGGTTTAACTGGTGATTGGAAACATTGTGTTAATAAGATGTGATCACCTCACCTCATGCCTCCCATTACTGTTTGATTCTGTAAAGCTTTTAGGCACTTATAGGCTGCAGTTGGGCCCATTTGTAGTGATTTATATAGATAATGCATTAACAATGTGCAAAAAAGTAAACAATAACATAGAAAATATGTTTCAAGATTCTAAAACTGTAGCATTTGTGCAGGCATGAGAAATAAGCCTCTCACTGTAGATCACAACCATAAGAAATAACGTAATTAATTTAGCATAACACTTTTACTATCCAATTCAATGTTGCTACAATAACCACTTTATAGAGAACAATTCCTGAGCAAATGATGCACCTATTCCAACCATTGGAGACCTGCAAAATTAGCATGGGGACCTAATTCAGAGTCCTAACTCAGGGTTGAGAAGGACGTTTTGTTAAAAATAGGTCATCAAGACAAAAACAAGAGCTACGCTCGGCTGAGTGATAACTATGGTGCCACCAATGGACTGCATGTAAACATTAAGAATTTTGCCCCCAAATAGGACCTGTTTCACCTTGATAAATCTCTTTCTCTGTAAACCTGACCTGCTGAGCCACTGATTAATCCCACTTGAAGTGTCACACCCTGTTTTACACTACTTAATAATATAGAAACACAAAAATGGGGAAAAACACATACATGTGAACAAGAGGTATTAAAGTCTTTTGTTCAATCATAAAACAAAAATATTGTATGACTTTGCGTTTGTTGCCGCTTACTCTGTATCCGAGATTGACTTCTGACTTTGACCTGCTCTACCATCTGCAGTGACTTTGTGACTCTCCACTTGTCAAACTGCCATATTTCCTTTTTTTTTTTTATTGTCTTTTTATTAGCAGGTTTTCCACCATAAATACATTTTACAAAAGAATAATTAAAATACATTCATCCACATAAAAACAGATAAAGAAAAGAAAAAACAAAAACAAACAAAAAAAAAACAAAAAAAAACAAAAAAAACTTTCCACCACCCCACGGGAGTTCTACAGACTTCAAACTTTTTCCAACTTTTTCAAATGACATTCCTTTTACAGTTGTAATAATTTTTTCTCCAATTTTTCCCATAGGCTCAAATCATCCCTCAAAAGTTTGCAATGATCTTTCTCCATTTTTAGTTGGTAAACCAACTGAATTGTTATTAATTTTATGTTAAAGAGGATATCTCCCTTCCAATTTCTTGCTATTATTATTTTACATGCCATTAAACAATGAATAATTAAGAATTGATTTATTTTATTCAATTTTGGCCATTTATAATGTAATAACATTACTTCAGGTTTTAAAGGCATTTTAACATCACATAATGTATGAATGATAATTTGAGCCCACCGCCATATAACAATCACTTGTTTACATGACCACCACATATGGATATAATTTCCCTTTTCCTCCCTACATTTCCAACATTTAATATCCCTTGATACATCAAATTTAGCTATTTTTGTTGGCGTCATATACCATTGATTAACCAACTTAAAATGTGTTTCTATTAATACAAAGGAGTGGACATATTTGTTAATTTTTTGTGCCATACATAGCCATTCAAATAATTCAATATTTATTTTTAATTCAGTGTTCCATTTTTTAATGGCAGTGGGCAGAACAGAATCGTCCATTAAATCCAACAATCTAACACATCTGGAGAACAATTGCTTTGTCTTATTCTGATGTAAGATTGTTTTTAAAATATCATACATCTTACCTTCTTTTACTAACTCAACTTTCTCCAAGTA